AGGAAAGTTTTTTTTATAATCATCCTTTGGCCGCAGCTGGGGTTTGCCTGGGGGTGGGCGGGGGGGCAGTCCCTGCTTTCCCTCCTCCCCCCTTTCTCCCTTCTGTGCTGGAGCAGACAGCTCAGCCCAGGGCTGCAAAGCATCTGGGATGCTGGGGGACTCTGATTTAACTTAAACCAGGAAGGGGTCTGGGACAGAAGTTCCATAAACTGGTTCGACCCAAATCAGTTAAGTCTGATACTACATTCAATCAGGTTTATCTTAAACCAGTTTCAGCCATTTTGAAACTGGGTTATGTGCACTGAACTTCTGTTCTGTTACAGGTTTAAACCAGTTTCTGATCACTTAAACTGGTTTATGTGTAACTTCTGTCCCTAGCCCAGCTGTCTGCTACAGCAGAGCAGAGAGGTGGGCTGTAGAGGTCACCCCCTCCCACCTCCCCCAGCTTCTGGCCCAGGCCACAAGTGCAAAACTGCAGTTCTGATTTCCAGTCTCAAAACTGAATGTTTGTTCCCTTGCTTATTGGTTCAATCTACGCAGCTTGGACTAACCCATGAAGATTGAAATGATTCGGTTTTGGCCTTATCTGTATTTAGCCCCCCCTGTCATGTGGGGCACAGTTTTCTTCCTGGGAGATGCTTAGCACACACTAACCAACCACTTGCAAGGCACTGGCAACTCCCTCCTCTCCCCTGTTTTTACCTTTTGCATGGTAGAGTGTCTTATGGTGTTCCTGCCTTGTCATGGGTGAGGGTTTGAAGTGGCTATTTTAATGCTTTTCTGGGAAGCATTTGCCTCTGAATGCCAGGGACTGGACTCGGTGGGCCAAGAAGCCCCTTGCAGTCCTGTGTATGTTTGAAAGCTAACTAATGGTTAAGGCAGACAAGGTTCTTTGGGTGAATCTGGTATCTTTTATTAGACCAACTTAAATAGTTGGAAAAAAATTTTAAGCAAGCTTTCGGGTTTAAAAACCCTTTGTCAGGCTGAGGAAGTCTCTGCAGTTGGTGTGTGCTCTACCTTGATGGAATGAAAAGTAAAGAAGCCGGAGGCTGGGCTGGTATGCATACAAGATGGGCAGTCAGTGAAGATGTAGATTGAGGAGTCAATGGGTGAGACAGGCTGGGTGGGGGAGGGAGAGAAGGGGGAGGAATAGCGGAGAGGTACTTGGGCAGTCAGATGTCGGGCAGGTTATGTTGCATAAATCCAATGTCTACATTTAGTCCATGATTTTTATTATCCAGGAGTTTGATGAAGAGGAGTTCATAGGCTTGTCTCTGGGAAGTGTTTTGTAAGTTCCCTTTGAGGATTAGAACTGAGAGACTGGAGAGAGAGAGTGGTTTTCCCGTGAGAAATATGCTCCCACGGGGAATTTGGGTATTCTTGTCTTCGAAAAATATCCGGTGTGCATTCATTCTGGTGCACAGTTGTTGTTTGGTCTCTCCCATGCATTTTCCATCAGGGCATTTGGTGCATTGGATAAGAGATATTACCTTTCTGGAGGTGCAGCTGTAAGATCTGGGAATGCTGATAGCTCTGTTGTGGGGTGTAGTAAGTGTGTGTGGGGGGGGTGGAAGTGTGTTGGCAGGTTTTGCATTTCTTGTCATGGCACGGTCTGGATCCATTCGGTGTGTTCTGGGCCTGAGGAAGTTTGCTTCTGGTGTTGAGGGTAACGAGGTTCAGTGCTTGCTTGAAGGCTAGGATGGGTGGTTCTGGGAAGATCTCTTTAAACATAGAGTCTCTTTGTAGTATGGGTTGCACTTGCTGAGGATTTTCTGTCCGAGTCTGAGGGAGGGGTGATATGTCATAACCAGCGGTGTGTGATTTCAGGGGGGCGGGGGGGGCTCTGTACTGCAGCAATTCTTCACGTGGTATCCGGGTGGCTCTTTCAAACATGCGATCTATCTCTCTGGAGGAGTGTCCTTGTTGGGTGAAAGTTTTAAGATTGCTGAGGTGGCAGATAGAGAAAGCAATTAAGCTAATAGAGAGTTTTTTGAGTTGTGTTTTTGGGTTGTTTTTTTTTTTCAGTTGTCCAGTGCCTCTTAGCTTACTGTGGGCTGTGACTGGAATACAAGAGGTGCTTTATGCAATTCTATAGCCATCCCACTCTTACAGAAACAGCCTCTCAGCTGAAGTAAGTCTCCAGTGGTTGCAGCTGGTATACTAGGACACAGATCTGTTCACACATTTCCAGAAAAATGATGAAAAATGAGGTGTTTGCGTCCTTTGCTTTCTATAGCACAATCTTGATTTTAAAAATGTATGTCATTGCCATCATTACAGGACAAGTGAGGCTCAGAAAGAAGGTAAGAGACGGCTTTATTTTTGTAAACCAGCACACGCAAACTGCCCGGGCTTCCTTAAGTTTCTTGTTTCTTTCCTTTCTTGTCATGTCTTTTTTCAACTCTTTTAAAGGATCAGGCTCAACCCTGTAAACTGACTTGTGCTTTTACTGAGGCTACAAAGTGAGTTGAAAGCAAAATGCATTTTGTGGTCTCTCCGCCTTTGTTTGCCTCTTTCCATCTAATGTTTATCTTGCAGAATCCTATTCAAAACGGAAACTTGCAGAGCTAAAATGCCAGGCAGGTGAGCTCTTTCCAGAGAGAGGCTCTTCGCTTCTTGGTGCATCAAACAGAGCAGTCTTATTTCTAAAGTCAGAGATAGAAATACATATAAATTAACTAGGAGCCTATTCTTAGCCTTTTTTAAGACTGACTTTGCCGTGTGCCCCTGTGGGAGGGGAGGGAGGGAGATGTGTATGTCTGCACGCATGCGCATGCGTCAAGAGACCTTTAAATTCTCAGAGTAATAAAATTGGTGTCAAGAAAACTATTTTGGGATACAGGGATAAAAAGGAAATATTTTCCCAGTACAAGGGGAGAACATTTAGCCTGGCACACTGACTGAACTTGGTTTGAGCTTAAGCTCATGTTTCTTCTTGAACAAATAATCCAGACTCAACATGCTGAAAAGAAAAAAACAAAACAAAAAACCTCTGCTATAAACCAGTTAATATTTGTTAAAAAAAAAAAATATTGGAAACCACTCAAAGGGTGGTGCAGGTTGTGTACAAGGCCTGCCTTTGACACTGTGTTATTGTCAGAAATAGGTGTGCTTAAGCTTGCGTCTCAATATAGTTAATGCGTTGGGGTCCCCTCTCCACCCCCATGGTACTGTGAACCTCAAACTATTTCTGCCCTGTATGAAGCTCTGCTGAAATCCAGGCTAGTTATAAGATCAAACTGTTGCTGTTGTGGACCCTGGCAATTAATTCCTAGAACATGGGTCAAGGCTGATATTAAAAATGTGGGGTTTTGGGGTTTTGTTTTGTTTTGTTGAGGCTGTTATTCATCGATCTCTGGATCTGACTCTCTTCCCTTGTACTGTACTGATTGAGTTCACTCAGTAATTTGGCCAAAGTTTTGGAAGTTTTTCTTCTTTTTTTTAATCTTATTTGGTTTTTATTTTTTGTTTTTACTTTTTTGTCAGGAAACTATTGTATCTAAATGTTTTAAAATACTGCCTAACTTACAGTAGGTGAAGTATTCTCTGCCACTTCTAGTAATTGTCTTAGTACCACTGGATCATGCTGTTAAATGGCTCTCTTATTCCCTGGCAGATGGGACTGCATTGTAACCCTTGGCAAAATGACTTGTGTGGTGGTCACATAGATTGCATGATGGTAAATTATGTTCTTGATTCCAATAATAGCTACTTGGAGCTGTGTTGTACTCCCTTACACGGGCTCTGTTTTGAAGACAGTTCTTCTGGAAAGTCTTTCAAAAATCCCTCTGGATATATAGTGATACAGCACTAGCAGCATATGCTTTTTCCATTGCATGTAACAAATATCCTGCCCCATTTTTTTTTGAGTAAAAGGCTATGGAAGTCCTGATGTAACAACTCTTCTATAGATTGGGGCAAATGGCTTTGTTTCTTTACCTCTGGGAGTCACTGCCAGTAAGATGATGCAGACATTGCCAACCTATTCCAAATGGAGGCGTCCTCTCAACCAAGTAGCAGCACCCTTTTTATATGAGCATGGATTGCTTTTCCCTTCAGTACTGCATGTAGATAATTGAAAGGATTAATAAGTCTTCTGTAGTAGCCCCCAAATAATTGGGTGGCTAGGGACAACCTGCAAAAGCATCCATTCCAGTGCTTTCCTGTCCTGTAGAAGACTGAAAATGCTTCATTGTTGCCGCCCTGTGGGTTTAGGCTGGGCCACATGGGTGAAAATGTGACTTTTTTCTAATGCACCTGCTGCAGCAAGACATGGCATTGAAAGGCAGCGCTGAATCTCCAAAGATATTTCCCTTAGCTGGTGGGAGTACCAGGGGCTTTTATCTCTGTGGGCTGACACTGTGTGAAGGTTGCTACCTGCTCACACACATGGTTTAGCCTCTTTCAGGTATGTTTCCCTTCAATGTCCCAAAAAGCAAAATGCTGGCCCCTCGTTAAAGCCCATGGTAAAACTCTCATTTGCTTTAATGGGGCTAAGAATTCAGCCCATCAAGTTCTAGAGAATACTGTAAGACTATTGTCCCAGTCACATTAATGGGAAGAGCATTCAAATCCCTATTCAGCTTTGAAAGTCCATTGATCCACTGCCTGCATGCCTGTACTCGGGGCATGCGGGCAGTTGATTGCAACTCTGCCCCGGCTCAACCGCGCTGTCACCGCCACAAGATCCTGGCCCCAGAGCAGCTCCCTGCCCATCTGCATGCCCTGCTGGCATGGCTGGGGCCGGCTCCATGGAAAGCCTAGCCCTGTGCTGTTACAGCTCCGCTGCTGCTAGGGTCTCTGTGGAAACCGGCTGCAGCGACATGGGCAGGGGTTGCTGGGAAATGGAGTCTGCCGTGGGCCTGATCCAACCTGCCAGCTGGATTTTGTCTGCCCCTCCTTTAAAGTGTTGCAGAAACTTCACTTTCGTTGCTTGCTTCCTTCCTTCCCCGATGGAACGTGCCGCTTCATGCCTCTGATACGGGAATTTTGTCTTGCAGGCTTTTGCCAACCCAGAGGATGCCCTGAGGAATGGAGGGTTGCAGTACTACCGAGACGATCCGGATGTGGAGCGGTGCCGCAGGCAAGTACTGTACCGGTGAATTCCCCTGCTGAGAGCATGGCTGGAATTCTGCCTGTGCAGCCAGACAGCCCAGGCAGCTGCTCAGTAAACAAATGCAAATATTGGGCCCCTTTTAATTCAGCAATTATCTGCAGGGATTGACTGACTACTGACTAGAGCCTGAAGGCAGAATCCTATCAAGGACATGATGTTAAATAGGGTCTGTCCTGGGCTGCCTGAAACCACAAGGTTCATGCTTGGAATTCAAGTCATTAGCCCAAAGCATCCTATTATAACTCGGGTCCTAAGAACCAGTTTTCATGGTCTCCTGGATTCCTATGGAAATGCCAGAGCTAGGGTGACCACCTCTTCAAAATGGGAAGTTGGGACAAGTGCCTGCCTCTCCTCCCTGCCTCCTTCCCCCTCCCTCCATCAGGGACATGGCTGCAGCAGAGCAGGGGCAGATGTGAGCTGCCCATTGTGGACTCTGGACTCCCTGCTGTGTACCCACTGCCTACCCAGCAGCAGTGGGGGCCACAACTGCATGCCACTGGCCCCACTGCTGCTGAGCAGGCAGGGGGTGCCTTGCCACAGTGGCACGAGGCTCCTGGGGGGAGGGCAGCAGGGTGGGAGCCCTGAGCCCTCAGTGGGCAGCCCACATCCACCCCCCCATGCACGAATTTGGTGGGTACATGTCTTCCCCCATGCCCCTCCTGGGTGCCCACAGTGGCAAGGAGCTGCCTGTGATTCCATCCTGCTCCCTGCTTTGTCTGGGCAGCTCCCCCAGCCCCTGCCCCACTCTCTCCCTCCCTGTGGGGACCTCAATCTACCCTCCCCCCCCCCATAGTCTTATCTGCAGGAAGCTGCTCTCCACACTGCCTGGCTGTATTCCCAGCCATGTGCATGTGGCATCTCCTGCATCCGGCTCCCAGCAGCTCCAAGCAGCTTGCGAGGGGAAACCCACTGCTTCCCAGATCCAGATTCCTGCAGCATACTGCGAATTTGAGAGAAGTGCTGTTCTGGAGTCATGCTATGCAGGACTGGAACTTGAAGTTCCCATTTTGGGACTGTCCCACCCAATTAGGGACAGGGGGCCACCCTAACCAGAGCTCGCCACACTCAGCTGTAACAGAACCCTGTCTCCAACCCCGGACATCTGTCATGAACAAACAGCTTGCGTCTGCTCCAGTGTTGGTTGCGCTGAAACTTTGGCAGTGAGGCGATGACCAGGATGGAATCGGGCCTGGGAAGAAACAGCCTGAGTGTTACTGACAGGTGTCTCTGCAGCTCCCCCAGACAGAGCTAGGGACTGCTTCAGTACAACCTATCCCACCTGCTCCTTGTGCCTCAAAATTGGGTGTAGTGTAGCCACCTCCAGGGCACCTCTGGCTGCGTGCCAGTAAGATGGAATTTTTGGTGCTCACCCAAGGCTACATCGCATCTGCTTCAGGGCATTGTGCAAGGAGCTAGCATACTGTGCTTCGCTGGGCAGTGCCTAGCACTGTCTGGACATGGCGGAGACATGCCTTGAATGTCTGTTGCTCTCCATAGGTGTGAACTAAACTGAACCTCTTGCTTGAGTTCACTTGACTTGCACTTTTGCATAGGTGACCTGCAAAGATAGAAGGCTAGAGGCTGTGGGTCCACAGGAGTTGAAAGCATCCTGATGATAATCAGGTGTTGCAACTCTAGGCTATGTCCTCAAGGGCAAAACATGCAGTGTTTTCATTGCCAGGCTAGATAGTGCTCCTTTTAATTCTAGTCTTTCAGTAAAATGCTAATGTAGATAAGGTTCATTAGCCTTTATAGTGTAATAGCTGGGCAAGCTCAGCTGTGGAGATAAGGGTCAGTAGCTTTTATGTTGAGCTAGCTGCTAGGCAAGCTCAAGGGTGGGTGGTGGTGTAAGGTTGACATGAATAAAGCTACCTTCCCTTCTCTCCACTGAGGTCTTTACAAAGAAACCTACTGCAAGCAAACTCTCCTTTGCTCAAACTCCCCATTTTGGCAACAAAAACAAGCAGATGTTGGTGCGAGCCTGTATTTAGGTGGTCAGATCCCAGAGGGATCCTAAGGTTTGGAATAACTGTTTTAAAACAAGTGTCTTATCTTGTTTCTATCTAATCCAATGAAGGCAAAGCAGGACTACTTTCCTCAAGACAACGAGGAGGGAAAATGTGGGGTAAGACTAAAAAGCACAACTTGTACAGATTCAGAAAAAGGGCTATAAAAGTGTCATGGAACAGAGCCTTACAAGAAGGTGTCTAGCTGTGTATTAGTCTTGGCCTTTAAAGTTTGGGGGGTTTTTTTTCCTGGTTTTTGGGGGTTTTTTCTTTTTGCTTTGCTGAAGTTTCTCCAAGGAATCTCTGCTGGTGTAGCTCTGGGTGTTTATTTTTTTTAAAGAAACTGGTTGCTGACTGACTGAGAGCTACAAGGCACCGAGCAGTCCCTCTTTCTCCTTCGGTGCCTTCCAACGCGTCGGAGGATTAGGTCAGAAGGAAACCATGTTCATGACAAAGCGGTGAAATGTCTTGGCTGTGCCCTTTTTTACTGCAAAAGGCAAAGCTGACTCTGGAATGTGAGCAGAGAACCGAGGGTTTGACTTTCATGCCTGTTGCAGTGAAAGTACAGAGCAGGCGAGTATGTGCTCCCTTCACCCAGCATTTTGGGACAGACCCCCTACAATCCCTCCATAGGGAGGACGAGGAACACCCTGATATGGTGCAGCTACAGCAGATTTCTGCTCTCCTGCCATACTTAAATAGTGTTGCTACTGGGCTACAGCTTCCAGCATGTGGTGTGGTCTGATTGTGCTGGCGTGCGAAGCAGGTTGCTCTGGATTTACGTTGGGACGGAATTTAGTCTCTGGGCTGAGCCAACTGGGCAGGCACCATGGAAATGATGCAGCGGATAAGGGACATAGGAAGTGAGCATTTTAATATTGAGTCACGTAGGTGGGTGGGGGGAGAAGACATGACTTTTAGATGATCAAATTGCGATTTAAAAACAAACAGGCTCAGGGGACTGCCTTTTTCTGCAGGAAATGGCTTAGGTGAAGTGTTTGGCCACGGGCTGTGGTTGCTCTGTTTATATACTACTTAGTTTACAGGTCTGGCACATGGAGGGAGACGGGAAATGACTGGTTGCTGTGGAAACTTAAACAGATCAAGTACTGAACTTGCTAATGGGGTACATTGATTGGAACCAGCTGCCGAGCGCTGGAGGCTGCACTCGGCTTCCACATCGCAGCCCTGCAGATCAGGATTGCGTTTTCCTGCAGTGAGTGTCCAGGCTGGGGGAGAAGCCAGGCACAATTGAGCCAAGTTTGAAAGAAACCATTATAATTATGTCTTTTTCTAACTTCCAAGTTATCTTAGAAACTGGTTGAAAACTTTCTGATGGGACCCATTTTAGGGAATACAAGATGCGCCCCTCACCTTCCCCCCCAACAGACCTATGTCATTATCAAAGGTTTCATGGGAAACTGGCCAAACATTTTGCCTTTAAGCTTGGAACACCTCCTATCTTGTAAAAATGTGGGTTTTTCCAACCAATACTTATTTGTATCCATAGCTCCAGTATGGCTCAAAACCCCATTGAGATGGGCACTAGACCACACAGAACAAAGGAATGGTCCGTGCCCCTGAGACTTTACAGTCTAGGAAAAGTCTTGTAGGCTACTATCCAGGTTGTAGCTGTACTGGTCTAGAGCAGGAGTTTTCAACCTTTTTTGGATTGATGTACCTCCGGTGGCCAAACGTGGAGCAGGGAGGTGGCGCATGTGGCCAAATGTGGAGGGGAGGGGAGGTGGCACGTGCAGCCAAATGCAAAGCAGAGTGTGATTGTCCCCTGTGTCCAGGCAAGTAGCTTCTACAGCAGTGCAGGATGGTGCATGGTGGTGCTCTGTCCCTTCCTGCCCATGCATACCCCCTAGGGCCTTCTTCGTGTACACCCAGTTGACAACCCCTGGTTTAGAAGCAAAAGGAATCGGAACTCATGGTGGAAATATGAACTTTCATTTCTACCTAGGAGAACCTTTTACAGTCTTTTCTCCAATGCCTGAAGAAGGGTGCTTTTGCCTGGAAGCTTGCAAATAAAGAATTAAAAAATCTAGTTATTCTAAAAAGATATCACCTCTACCACAAGTTCTGATACTATGGGGTATAGGAGGAGGAGTATTTTTAACAGTGACCTGCAGACTCATGAGTCAAAGAATAAGTTTTATGTCCATTTTCACTCTTTCTTGAGGGGAGTTAGGGAAAGACATTTTCTCTTTAGCATTAGAACTTGGGTCTTGCCTACATTCTTCCGTAAACCAAATTATCTATGGACTCGTCTATAGATCATAAAGAAGCCAAACAGCACAAACTAACAGACTTTCTAAAAGGAAGATGGGCCTGAATCTTTTGGGTTTCCAGCATCCCTGACGTGAGTGAGGAGGCTTTGATTGGGTTTGGTCAATGATGGGTGGTGAGCCCTGGAAGAGGCAAGTGTTTCTAGAGAATGAGCGGTGTCACGTTCTCATAGAGTATTTAAAGATAAAAGTATAAAACCGAAGCTGTTTTGAATTCTGAGTCTGGGTGGAGCAGCAAACTGCATATTTCTGTCTCTCTTCTAGCTCTGTCCCTCTACATACCACCAGTCTGAGCTTAAACAAAAGCTGTATTTGATTAGCATTACATGGCAAACATGCTGGGACTCTTTAGAAAGAAGAGTGGAATGTATCGTGTGCCCAGGGACAAAGACACAAAAGGGAAAGAATGTGGGGAAAACTGATCCCAGGCTCTTCTGCCGAGTAAAATAGAGTAGAGGTGAACAGGCACATCCCACACATGGATCTTTAGGGAGAAGGGGAGAGACCTCTATTGCCCCACATGAACTCTAGCCTGCAGTCTAGTAAGGGAGCCTGTGCTGAACTTAATTGTTTGGGGATGCAGGGGCCTAACACAACCAGGTGGTGTTTTCTCCATGAACTGCAATGAGAGTTGATGGTGCTCACCACTTGACAGGATTGTGGTACAGAGCCCCCCCCCCACCCCCCCCCCCCCCCCCCCCCCCAGTGGTTATGAGACCTCAATTGTGCCAAAAGTACAAAGGGTCACAATCTTGCCCAGTATCTTAAATCTAACTTTGTGTAATTATGCAGAACTGGAAGCACTGCCTGTGTAGAGAACTGACTGATAGTTCATATTATAAACATCCTCTCAATGTGAAAGAGGAGAGCTGGGGGACGTGGGGGTGGGGGGCCTGGAACCAAGGAAAGGTGTGGGTTTGAAGAGTTGAAAACAGAATTTAGTGAAAATTGTGTGGCCTGTTGTGTGGTTTATAGCTGGTTTGTTTCCCTCTAACACTTCACGGGACACTTGAAAATAACCCAGCAGGAGTCAGTCTTGCTACCATAATGGGTATCTGTTGATGGTGAGAATAGATTTCATCAAGGACGCTGTTTTTCCCAGGCTCTGGGGAGCACTGCTGTGCTTGGTAACAGCCCCTCCATGATGGAGGGAGAGCTTTCTTGGAAGAGTGGGTCTCAACGCAAGCTCTAAAATCAGTTGCACTTCATATTAGTGTGTGGGGGGGGGGCTTCACTCTCCCCCAAACCTTACTTTTTCAGCACCAAAATGACGCTAGATGCAAAAATCAGGTGCTGAACTTCCATTGGAATCCAGTGGAGCTGGGCATCTAACTGCCTCTAAAAATCCTGGCTATTCTTTCTCAATTTGCTCGCTTATTCTGAACCAGTAGTTAGTGGCATTCTGCTTAACGCCAAGGCATCTATCCACTTCAAGACCTATGCTGGCAGGTTTCAATGAGGGAGTCCTACCCAGACATCCTGTATAGAAAGGTAGGGACTGAAATATGCGCTGTCTGGTACGGAGGGGTGGGAAGAAGAAACGGGAGAGTTAGTCAGGCAGGGTAGACTCCAAGGCAGTCCCATAAGCTTGAATTGTCCTACCTCTGTTTTTCAGGGCTCATCGCAACGACATGGAGAACATCTTCCCCTTCCTCTTCCTTGGGGCCATTTACTCCATGCTGGACCCCAATCCTACTGTGGCCAGGATCCACTTCCTGATCTTCCTTGTGGGGCGGATTGTTCATACAGTGGCCTACCTCCTGAAGCTGAAGGCCCCCACACGCTCAGTGGCATATAGTGTGGCCCAGATGCCCTGCTTCTCCATGGCACTGCAGATCCTCTTTACAATTGTAATGCGCTGGTAACATCAAACATAATCGGATGATGCTCTAACGTGGCTTAGAAAGATATGACTGGGGCTTTCTCAAGGCATGGACTAATTTGTCCTTCTCCCTGCTGTCGCTTCGCTGCGGAGAGGTCTCCCAGATGAACAGATCACACCAGTTATTTGCAGCCTCGCTGTGCTTGTGTGTGTATGGATCAGGCTGCAGAAATGAAAAGGGTGGACTACCCAAAGGTGGGTGCTCTGCATCCAGTCAAATTATGCAAAGCTGAGATGAAACTGATATCATTTTGGGTTTTTTTGTTTTGTTTTTGGGGGGGGGGTTTATGGCTTCTCATTGGTGATATGCGAGTAAAAAATTGGAGATGGGACAAGTTCTGTTTCTTCACCTGGAGAAGAGCATCCTAGTAGAAGCTTTCTCAGTTGCACCAGGGAGTGGAGAAGAAGACTGTGCAAGGCCTAGAGACAGAACGTGAAACTGAACCAGCAAGGGTGAATAAGCAGCCTGGACTCATCTCCTGGAGATGGAGGGGGAAAAATCTTACAGACTGAGTCACCAAATCAGTGGGGCAAACCATGCCTCCTTTTCTGTACGCTTTCTTAGAAGTGAAAGCAAAGCTGAGAATCAGCTGGGGTTTTCTCTAAAACACACTTCCCTCTGCAAACCTTGTGTGTGTCTTAATCTAAGATGGAGATGTTGTCTTGTAACTATTTTCCCCAGCTAAACGGCAGAGCGTCTCTGGGAAGTAAAATTACAAGCCTTTCATTTTACTAAAATCGTGGCAGCATAGCAGAGCCAAAGTCGATCACTCCTAGCAACCTGTTGCTCTCTCTTCTACATCTTTGCCTGAAGTGCACTGCTTCCTGTTTGTGCTAGGAAAAATTAGCTAAGTTTTTTTTTGTAGCCTTGCACCTGCACCATAACTGAGGTACCTAAGGTACCAAGGGAGCAGCATACAGGTTCTGCAGCTCCCTTGAACTAAGAGCAGAGGGATCTGTGCAATCAGCAGTTACTCCAAAATCAATTGGCTTGGCTCTAGCTCCTCCTCTTAAGAAAAACAGGTTGCTATCTTTAAAGGCCATCTCTTTTTCTGGCCTCTTGTTACAACCAGTGATGCTATAATGGGTCTTATACCAGGCAAGGAGACTAAGACACAGTTATCCTAAGCTAAAAGGAAGTTTATTGAACCCTATCAGATAAACTGAAGCATTTTCCGTAGTTTAAAATTTAGAATTGTAGCTAGTCAAGGCAAATGCTCACCACCCCCAGATTTAATGAACATGGTGTCACTGGATGGCCAGTCCATGAGGTCTTGTCCGGGGTTCCCAATTCCTTCATCTGAGCTAATCTTGGACCTGTGACCGTATCTTTCAGGACTGGGTTCTAAGGGGTACGCTCTCTCTTGCCTCTCCTGGTATACTAGGGCTGTGCAAAGCTTTGAGTTGTGATTCGATTAAGAGGAGATTTGGCCCAATTCAGTGGTCGAATCTCCAAATCCAAATTGAATTGGGGGACCAATAAAAAGGTCCGAACTGATTTCAAAGCTCTCTGGATCTTTGGAAAAGTAGAAGCTCTTCAGAGAGCTTCGATTCGGTCAGTCCCTGGTGTCTGCAGCAAGGAGCTGGACGCAGACTCGGAACTGACAAGTAGGGGGTGGGGGAGGTGGGAGGGGACCATGGGGGGACCCCTTCCAGGCCCCATCCCCCACCCTACCCCAGGTCTGGCCCTTTAAGGAAAAAAAAAAATGGGGGAGAAACCCCCGGCCTCACCATCTCCTGCAGTGGCCTTGGGGCCTCTAGGGGCCTGTGGCAGAGCCCCCCCATGCAGTGGGGGGCAGCAGGGATTGCCCCCATGCCCAGCAGCACCCAGCGAGTAGGGGCTTTTTTTCAAAGTGCCAGGAACTGGGCCAGGCGGGGCTGGGAGAGCGGGCGCATCCAGGCCCATCCCCGGGCCTGGGTGATTCAGAGATTCGACAGCAGCCAAATCTCCGAATCGGATTTGGCCAAATCAGTTTGGGACAGTTATTTGAATTGCTGTCCCCCTGAATCGGCCAAATCCAAAGCGAATACTAGCCACTTCACACAGGCCTGTTGTATACCATGTAGCTTACACTTTTTAATACATAAAAGTAGCTTAAGCTTTCCTTCTAATGCATATTAATAATCTTGCTTCTGTTTGCTAAATACGGTTACCTTTAACTGGAATTTTCTCTTCTGAGGTAATCTTCTCATTCTTAAGTGGGTGTAGGCTTTGCTCTGACTGGTCCTCTTTTGCCCAGACTATTCAATTTAGTTAGCCAACTTCCCGATTTATTTGAAGTCAGGGGCAGTATTTCTTCATCTGCTCCTTTTTCACTGAGTGCAAGTCTCAACCACAATTCAAGCTAAGCACACAGCTTGAGCTAAGCCCAAAAGTCAAACCCAGGTCTGAAAGGCCCTGGTCCCCAACAGCGTCTTGCTGACATCTCTGTGCAACAGTGTAATCCACCTAAAGAAAACTATAGACATCAGTTGCCTGATAAGGGTGAATAAATGAACCTCCTAGGAACATCAAGCTGGTCTCCTAGGATGTTAGTGAAGACCTGTTTAGCCATGGAAGCCCTATTTGTAAGGTCAGAAAGCATCTCTACAGACGGAGAGAGCCCTGTCTGAGTTCCTCTTTC